TCAGTGGGTGGTTTGGGTGATGTTTCTTCTAAAATTTGTTCTTCCCCATTCTTTCTAATTTTAACCCTTCCGTCTGCCCTATAGAAAATTTATGTACGGAAGTTCCTTACATTTTGTAATATTTATTTGTAAGGAATAATCCTTTAATAATGTACGTAAAATTTTCCGGAAATGTGTATGTGATGTAAGGAAAAATGCATTTTTACGTACATGGGAAAAAACCTATAAATTTTATAAATAATGAGATTGTACTAAAAAACGTACTCAATGTATGAAACAAACGTACTCAATGTAATAAAGAAGCATACTTAATGTAAGGAGTAAACATACTCAATGTAAGAATTAACATACTCAATGTAAGAGTAAATGTACTCAATGCAAGAAAGAAACATACTCAATGTACATAGTAAACATACTTGATGTATGGAGTAAACATACTCAATGTAAGAAAGAAACATACTCAATGTATGGAGTAAACATACTCAATGTAAGAAGTAAATGTATTTAATGCAAGGAGTAAATGTACTTGATGTAAGGAGTAAATGTACTTAATGTATAAAAATTATTTTTTTAATTCAAATGTTTTTATTACAATTTCTTTTTAGTCTGGTATTTTTATTTTCTTTCTTTGCTGGTGATTTTTTGGATTTTTTGTTTGGAGATTTATCTTTAGGCTTTCCTTATTGGATTAAAGATGGGAGTCACAATTGTTTTTCCAAGCCGCAATTATTGCGGATTTGGACTGGTGTTGCAACGTTGTAGCCGCAATTATTATAGGAAAGATCTGCAAATCAAAAATAATATTTAGTTTATACTGTAAATAAAAAAAAGTATTATTTTCTAAATTGTTATCGATATGTTTATAAGAACAAAATATAACTTTAGAAATAATTTTATTTTGATACCAAAGAATAAATTTTAGTTGTAGCTTATAAAAAAGAATTGCGGAATTGCAGACAATTGCAGATATAGAAAATAATTGCGGAATTGCAGCTTGTTGCAACAAACCGTAATTCCGCAATTATTTTCTATATCTGCAATTGTCTGCAATTCCGCAATTCTTTTTTATATTTTTTGTGTAAGGGAAAAATTGATTTAAAAAAAAAAAAGATTTTTATCTTATTTTTTATATAAAAAAAATGTAAAAATGAATAATGATATAAGTAACTCAACAGGAAGTGTTGGTAGACGTTTTACTGAAGTGTGGGAACATGTTACTAAAGGGAGAGAAATTTCTCATGGTCATTATGAAGGAACTTGTAATTACTGTGAACAATATTGGAAATAAAGATGGGAACTACAATAATTTTGTCACAATTACAAATTTAACCAAAATATCTGTGTAAGGAAACCCTTTTTCCTTACGTCAAAATACTATATAATGGTTTTAATTATTAAAAAAATACAAGTTATACAAGTTATTCTTTATTAATTACGGAAAGCTTATCTTTTTATACAAAAATGCATAATATAATATTACAATTAAATAAATAAAAATAATATCTTAGAACTTCCCGGAAAGCCGCAGCACTTAATTTGTAACTCATATACATAAGAAAATAATATAAATAATAATAATATAAGTAATATAAATAATACATAATATAAATAATAAGTAATATGACGATAATATATATAAATAAAGTTGTAACGTTTCGTTTTAATTTAACGCGTTACGCGAAATAAATTTTGTATTACTGTGCCACATTTCATATTTGCAATTAACGAAAAAGAACTGTTACATTACTCCCCCATTAAAAATCAATGTCCTCATTGATTTAAAAATTCTTGTAAAATTCCATGGCAATTTGTTAAATTTGACTCAGGTTCCCAAGTTGCATCATAAAGGGGGTATCCTTTCCATTTCACAAGATAAAATTTCTTTTTATGTTTTGTTTTCATGTCTAGAATACTTTCAACTTCATATTCATCATTTTCATTTTCATTAGTGTTAATAGGTGGTGGAGGTATTTCTCTTTCAAATTCATCTGTTGTTTTATGTGGTTTAATTAAAGATATGTGAAACACAGGATGAATTTTCATTGTTTTTGGTAAGGTTAACTTGTACACAGTTGGTGAGATGACTTCTTCAATTGGAAATGGACCAATCCATTTTGGATTTAACTTTCTTGTTGCACGATTTTTGTTGATATCATCATTGATATTTGCAGTAGACAGAAGAACTTGATCACCAACATTATAGTTTTCATTTCGACAATGTTGATTTGCATATTTTGTTTGTCATTCTTGAGCAGCTAATAAAGCATCTTTAGCAGTTTGTAAATTGTTTTTCCAGATTATATACAAATTTTCAGCTGCTTCAACTTTAGTGGTATTACTATCTATAAGTTCCAACGGTGTCAATGGATGTTGTCCATTGTCTAATTCAAAAGGTGTCATTTCAGTTGAAGCTTGTTTGGAATTATTATAAGCGAATTCAGCTGCAGAAAGATGTTAATCCCATTTGTCTTGATGATATGTTGTGTAAGCTCTTAACATTTCTTCCAGAGTGCGATTCATTCTTTCAGTTTGTCCATCTGTTTGAGGGTGGTAGGCTGTAGACATTGATAATTTTGTTCCTAACAATTTGAAAAGAGCCTGCCAAAATCGACTAGTAAATTTTGGATCTCGGTCAGATATAATTACCTTGGGTAATCCATGATGTTTAAAAATGTGATCAAAGAAAATTTTTGCTACATCAGGAGCAGTTGCATCTGTAGTTAAAGGAATAAAACGAGGTAGTTGGGTGATAAAATCCATTGTTATTTGTTCCCATCGATTATTTGGAGTTGGTAATGTTTGCAAGAGACCTACAGGTTGTTGATTTGTGGCTTTATTTTGTTGACATGATTCACATGTAGCAACATATTTCTTTACATCTTTGCTCATACGAGGCCAATAATATGTCCGAGTAATTCTTTCATATGTTTTATCACATCCAAGGTGACCAGAAGTAGGATTGTCATGTGCTTCTTGTAATATCTTAGTAATTATATCTTTTTGTCATGGTACTACAAGACGTTTTCCTTCATGAAGATATATTTTGTTTCCAACCAATTCATAATTCTTTACTTGTGCTTTTTGTTTGACAGTTGCATTAGGATTATGTAATATGTCCCAAATTGGAGCAAAGTGTTTATCTTCTTGATAACTTTTTGCCAGTTTATCATTTTCAATTAAAGTGGTGGAAATAACAGATATAACAGACAAATATGGTTTTCTTGACAATGCATCCATCCGGAAAATATAAAAAAATTTTACATGTGTCAATTGTAAGTTTAATAATAAAAAAGTGTAAAACTTACGTCGGCACTGTAAGATTTACACAATATTACATCGGCATCGTAAGATTTATGCAAGTTTACGCTAAATTAATTTCCTGATGTCAGCTACAACATTTGTCTTTCCTGGACGATATTTTACCTCAAAAGGTGTAGATTGCAAAACTTCAAGCCATCTTGCTTGTTGTCGAGATAAATTAGATTGGCTATGAATATATTCAAGTGAAGCATGATCTGTTATCACTGTAAATTTTTGACTTTCCAAGTATGGTCTCCAGATTTTTATAGCATGTACAATAGCAAGTAACTCCTTTTCATGTACAGGATAATTTTTCTCTGCTGAAGTTAACTTCCTTGATTCATAAGCTATTGGTTGTTCTCCTTTACCTTGGTTCTGACTCAATACAGCACCTATGGCTATATCTGAAGCATCTGTTGTTACTGTGAATGGTAATTCTGGATTAGGAATTAACAAGACAGGAGCAGAAGTTAATCATTTTTTAATTTCTTCAAATGCAACTTGTTGAGGTTTTTCCCATACATAAGGTTGATCTTTATGCAATAATTGAGTAAGAGGAGAGGCCATGGTAGAATAATTCAAGACAAATTTTCTATAGTAATTTGCAAGGCCTAAAAATGATCTTAATTGAGTAAGGTTATTTGGTTCTTTCCAATCTTTAATGGCAGCAACCTTTCTTTCTTCAACAGCAATTCCTTGATCAGAAATATAATGACCCAAATATTCAACTTTGGTTTGGAATAATTCACACTTGCTAATCTTAGCATAAAGTTTATGTTCTCGAAGAGTGTTCAATACCTGTTGAAGATGTTTGTAATGCTCCTTTTCTGTTTTACTATATACTAAAATGTCATCTAAATACACAACTACAAATTTGTCCAAAAACTCACAGAAAATATCATTCATTAATGTCATAAAAGTTGCAGGTGCATTACTCAATCCAAAGGGTAATACTAGAAATTCAAAGTGTCCATATCGAGTGCGGAAAGCAGTTTTTGGTATATCCTCCTCACGAATTCTTACTTGATGATAACCTGAGTAAAGATCAATCTTTGTAAAATACTTGGCACCAGTTAGTCGGTCAGTTAAGTCTTCCACACGAGGCAGTGGGTAGCGATTTTTAATGGTGATTTTGTTCAGTGCACGATAATCAACACAGAGTCGAAGAGTTCCTTCTTCTTGTGTACAAATAGAACAGGAGCACCATAAGGTGAAACACTTGGTTGGATGAATCCTTTCTTTAACAATTCAGTTAATTGGTTCTTTAATTCATTCATTTCCTGATATGTTAGTCTATAGATAGGTCTTGAAGGGGGTTCTGCCCCAGGAACTAAGTCAATGGCATGGTCTACCTTTCTTTTTGGAGGTAATTCATCAGGTAAGCTCTTGGGAAATACATCAGAGAATTCTTTGACAATCTTTTGAGCTTGAGGAGTTAGAACAGGTTCATCAACTTTGTTCATGTTTCCAAGATATACAGCATATTAGTCATTATCATTAGGAATTTTTGCTAGCTGTTGTTGAGAAATATAGATAGATCGACATTCAATTGTATCATTTCGCTTGGTGTCAGCCTTTACTTCCATTTCTTTGTTACCATATTTAAAAACAAGTGTATTAGTTCGCCAATTGATCTGAGGGTTTGCATAATATAACCAGCTCTTCCCCAAAATTGCATCATAGCGTTGAAGATCAATGACTTGTGCATCTAGGTTCTTGGTTTGATATACTCCTAATTGTAAGATTCTCATATTGGCTACCTGATTAGTTTCTTTCTTTCGCCCATCAGCTAATTCTATAGTTAAAGGAGTAGTAGTTCTAACAGCTAAATTATTTTCTTTTACAAAATTTTTATCAATGAAATTTCGTGAAGCGCCACTGTCTAAAAGGATCCATGCATCTTTCCCATTGATTTTACCATTGAACCGAAGCAAGCTTTCTTTATTTTCTTCAAGTTGAACTAGTTCCAAATTGTTATTACTAGCAGTGTCTTCTTCAATGTTTTTAAGTGTGGAACTTCCTTTCTGTTTGCAGTCTCGTGAGAAATGTCCTAACCTTCCACAATTATAGCATCCTTCCTTTGATGACTTACCTTTGTTATTGTTACTACCATGATTATTATTGTTGTTGCCAGAATACTTATTTCGTTGATAACTAGTACGATTACGATTTCTACTTTCTCCAATGTAATCAAGATCCATTGGTCTTGGTCCTCCATCATCTCTTGGTGGGGGTGGTGGACGATTATAGTTTGTGGTTTGTGACTTATTATTATTCATTGGTTTTCCAATTCCCCACATTGCAGAATCATATCGTACAGCAAGATTTATTGCAGCTTCTAAACTTTGTGGTGCTTGGTATGCTAATTCTTTTCGGGTGTCAGGTTTTAATCCATCTAAATAATGTGCCACTTGGTCCAGGTCTCCCATTCCTTCTATTTGACCAACAACATTTTGGAACTGGGTGGTATAATCTTGGACACTCCCTGTTTGTTTCAATCGTCTCAATTGTTGACGTAAATAAGATTGATAATTTGGAGGTTGGAAAGCAGCTCGCACAGCAGTTTTAAATGCATTCCAATCACCCCATGGTACTCCGGTATTATTTCCATGTTCTGTCATTCGAGCTAGGTACCAATGTAATGCAGCTTCTTTCATTCCAGTACTAGCATAGTAGCAACAAATTGCAACATCATTAATTCCTTGAGCAGCAAAAATTGTTTCAGCTTGCATTAACCATGTAGCTACATTCTCTTTGGTTTCTCCTTTAAAAATCGGAATTTGTACTGCAATCCTAGGTGGTGTATTTCCGCCTTGTTGATTACCAAGTTGTTGAGTGAGTTGTCCTAATGCTGCTATTAATTGATTGAATTGAGTGGCATCCATTGTTGTTACTTGTTGTTCTAGATTATTTGTAATAGGTTGGTTAGTAAATTGGTTGTTTGATCCTATGACTGGCGTTGTATTTAATTGTGTAGTTGGTTGTTGGACCCTTCTTCTTTGTTGATTTAAAATGTCAGATTCGTCTAATTCTCTTCCTGGTTGTGATGTAGAAATAGTAGAGTTTTCTTCTTGAGAGTTTTCTTCGTCAGAGTCACTGTCAGTGTTGTTTTCCCTAAATATATTATAAAAGTTACTCATACAGAGTTGTTAGAAGTGTGTGTGTAAAATTATGTGTGTGTAAAAGTATGTGTGTGTATATAATTTCCGCTGCTACCAACTTGTAAGGAAACCCTTTTTCCTTACGTCAAAATACTATATAATGGTTTTAATTATTACAAAAATACAAGTTATACAAGTTATTCTTTATTAATTACGGAAAGCTTATCTTTTTATACAAAAATGCATAATATAATATTACAATTAAATAAATAAAAATAATATCTTAGAACTTCCCGGAAAGCCGCAGCACTTAATTTGTAACTCATATACATAAGAAAATAATATAAATAATAATAATATAAGTAATATAAATAATACATAATATAAATAATAAGTAATATGACGATAATATATATAAATAAAGTTGTAACGTTTCGTTTTAATTTAACGCGTTACGCGAAATAAATTTTGTATTACTGTGCCACATTTCATATTCGCAATTAACGAAAAAGAACTGTTACAATCTGCAAACATTAAATAAAATATTTAGTTTGTAAAGAAATGATACCAAGAATAAATTTTAATTTGATTTTATAAAAAGGATTTTTGAGATTTGCAAACATAAAAAATATTTGTGGAAATATGGATATTTGCGGACAATGGAAATATTTGCGGAGTTGCGGATAATTGCAACATGTAGTTAATTGTGGACATTGCGGAATTTAAGATGATTCTTTGCAATGTTGCAGCATTTCAATTGCGGGACCCATCTTTATATTGGATCCTAAACAATGCAAGTAATTTAATTAATTAATTAATATTATTATAATTGAAAAATTGTAATCATGATGAAATTGTGAATCATTTAACCACATATTTTTTTTTGAAAAAGAAAATAAGTAATAATATATATTAATATTTAATTTTTGTTGCATAACAATATTGTTCACCTATATTAATATATATAATAATATATTATTTTTTTTTCCACAATTTTCTTTTTTTTTTGCATAACTAAATCTGTTTTTTTTTGAAAGAGAAAAGTAATTAATATTATAATGTAATATAATATAATAATAATATATATAATGATTTTCTTTTTTTTTTCTTACTAGCCACGTAACAAGATCCGTTTTTTTTTTTGAAAAAGAAAAGTAATTAATATTATAATAAATAATAATGTAATATAATATAATTTATATAATAATAATATATATAATGTTTTTCTTTTTTTCCCCCTTACTATAGTGCAAGTCACTTAGTCGCTGAACTTTTTGTGCTACACCGCCATTTTTTGAGAAAAAAATTTCCAATCAAAAATGCAATAAAATTTGTATGGTCACGTGTTTTTGAAGATTGTCAAATGCAGAATTTTATCCAAATCATATAAACATGTGTATATCATTATTACATTGTAAAAATCAAATCACAAATACTTGCTCAACCCTTGCAATTTTTTGGTCTATTTATCATTATATGTTTTTTGGCCATGAAATAG